TCAACTTATCTCCATTCTTCACTCTGAAATTATGTCCATTCAAGGGTGTTTGTGGCAAATTGTGTAAGCAAACACCCAAATCATTGGAGTCATTTTACCAACCTGATATGCATAATTTGAATTTTATTTTTCCATCAAAAGGAATAAAAATTTAATCATAATATTCAAAAATTCTCAAATGAGCTCTAAGATTTCACTCAATCAAATGGAACCCTGTGCATCTAAAACTCAAAGTGATATAAAACATCTTCAGCTAAGCTCAAGTGTGACCCACAGAAGTCAGAGTGATTCAGTTTGAATCAAATACCCATGGCCACTGCAGCTTTAGGATAGGATGTGGTGTAAGACTCAAAAAGTGATTGTAAGATCCTTTTTGCTGAATGGAGAAAGGGATGAATGAGCTGCAAACTCTGCCTTTCTATTTTTATCCGAAAACAAGACCACCAAGGTAAGCTTGGCAGTTTAGTTAATGATAAAGGATTATGTTCAAATTTGAGTGTATAATTGTTGAGGATTGATCTTATTGTTGATGTTGTTTCTTGTGCTGATGTCTTGATTCTAATGTTCTTCCTTGATGCTGTATGTGTATAATGTAATAGAGTTGGTTCTTGAACCCAATAATGCTGGGAGCTATATGCTTCAACCAGGACTGGAACAAAGGACTGGCTCTTCTGTGTAATGTTTGTGAAATGAACTGTGTATATATTTCAATCTGTGAACTGTAATACTCGTGAACTTCTTGTGCAATAAATCCAAACCACCTATTTCACAAAAAAATAGCAAATTTGGCGATAATTTCTCTTTGCAGAGGCATCTTTGTGGACCTGAAGTCCTGGAACCTCAAGTCTCTTCATGCCTCAAAGCCCTCCCCTTTTATATTCATCAATTCCCTCTTCTTACAACCCCTTCTGGTTCGTCACGCAATTGCTAATCAAGACTCCCCTCGACACCTGCTCAAATTATTTCCTCTTCCATCCAGGCCTTTGTTCACAATTTGAAAATAACAATAAACATGGCCTGACTAATTATCCTCATCCGTCGACTCCATCGATTCATCACTCGGGACTAATGCCTCTCCATCTCTACATTTGTCCTGGATACCAGTCCCCTTTTCCTCCTTTTTCCTATTCTTGTCTTTGTTCCATTCCAAATTTGCTCGACCTATTCTCGGCTTTACCATTCCCTCTCTTCTGTTCCTTTCCCCTCCCCCTGTCTACTATTCAACTCTTCTCCCTACGCATAACTTTTTCCTGCGCCGAAAATAATTCCCAAACCTAGCCATGACACCTAACCAAAAAACGCAAATGGATCCATTGCCATTCCCATTTGCCACCTCTAAATTTCTATTCCTGTCCGTCAATCCTGTACTCCTATCAAATTTTATCTAAATTTGACAAACAACTTGCGTCTTGCCTATACTGCTCCGTAACTCTCTCTCATCTTTCCGAGCCTACTCTTCCCAAATCTCATTATCAACCTGTCAATTTTCTTCTTCTGCGAAACAAATTGTAAATAATCTCTCCACATACTCATTTCCCACAATCCGTGCCTTTTCCATTGCTATTGTCTCCTTATTCCTCATCTCCTTATAACCCTAAAACCATCTATAACATGCAGCCCCCCCTTTTCTGTCGACTTCTCTTTCCTAAACCATACTATTCCTGCTATCCTCCACAACCTCCGGTGTACATTGATACTTCTCCTTTTCCATCGGCTTTTCTTTCCTAAACTGAACGATTCGAAGTCATTTTCCTAATCCACACCTAGGTTCCGCATCAAATCAGACCCAAGAAAAGATATGATAACCCAATCTGATCTGATTTGATTTCAATGATTTCTGGATCCATAGTATTATGGAGAACATTTTAATTCAAGATCTCTTATCCCGCCAAATTCCATGCCCAAACACCTGTTGAATGAGCCCATATCTTACACAAAAAGCTGGTCAACATGAGCGAGATTTTAGGTCATAACAAGAGTGTCAAGATCCGCACTCAAGAAGCTGCTATTTGAATTATCGATAAGCAAGGACCGTTGCATAACTTTGCCAATAGAGACCATACAGATGAGTATGTACACTGATCACTCCTCCATCCTTTCTTTATTTTTTTCATTTCTAAGTCTCCAGAGTTAAATTTGCTTTTCATTTGCTGCTGGTATTTGAATAAAAAAATTTCATACATGGTGACAATTCCATTGATATTTGGGAGATTGACGACAGGAGATTACACGGACAAAGTAGCTTTGGATCTGAAAATTGATGAATTGCGCGCAAAGATCAGCTGCACAGAGGAGAAGAAGTACAGCGCTGAGTACCATCCACCCGACAAATGCTCAATCGGAAACGCAATCATGATCGAATTGAAGGACCGTACGGTCTTGGACAAGGTCGAGATCAAGTATTCTGTTGGACCCAAACGTCGTTGAGAGGAAGGAAAACCACTCTTGGATGCTAAGCTCAAGAGACACATCAAGACTCACAATTGTCTTCCTCTCTCATCCTTTCAAAACACCCCTACTTCATTTTATTAACTTGTCTCTTTGGATTTCTATTTTCATGTCAATCCGGTCAATGAATCTTCTCTGAAAATTAAAATAAAAAACACTTCCCTAAGGAACAAATAGCCAAGATCCTGGAAGTCGTTAATGACCAAAAGACCTTGGAGAACTTTGACGTTGAAAAGTTCATGGATCTCTGGGCCAAATCTTAAGACCATAGCCCAACAACCCTACAACAAACAAAAAAGTAAAAAATGCAAAGAGTGATTGTGTATTTCTTTCTGTTTTATTTATCTCCAGCATAGCTTCCTAAATATAGCCTCTTGTGACAATGTAAGCCACCAAGATTATTGAATTTTTCAGTGCAAAAAAATCCCGATGCAATTGCTATAGTGTTGTGTTCATGTACTCCATCAGAGAATGCAGGGGCTTAGCAGGTGCTCTCAATCAATCAGGAATTGATAGTGTCAAATGTGCTGCTCTGATGTGCACATGCCAGACAGAAGCACCCTCAGTGTGAACTGCGTAGCATGGCTACATGCTAGGTAATTGGTTTCTCAAGTCTTGAACTCTTTGCACCGCATTAGAAATTGATGAAGTAGTCTACCATGATGTGATACTGTGTTACTTTCTTCATGTTTCTTATTGAAACAAGGATCATGTTTAAAACACTGCAGGACTTGTGGCTGCAAATGGGCCCTACCTGTTAGGTTTGACAATAACCAGAATCATCCATGTTATTTTTCACCAACAACATTGGTTTAGCATCATGTCAGTGTATCACTACCGACTAAAAAATACTCAATATTCACCCCCCATGCAAGAAGAATTTATGAATCTGTGACAGGGTGAAGAATTTATGAATCTGTGACAGGGTTCTCTGTCCAATAGTCTTACATGACATGCAGCACCTGTGATTTCACAGGTCTCTGTGCCATGCATGAGAAATGTGTGGGACACAGCCAAGATGTCACAAGCACAGTGACTGGGCAAAGGTGTTCATAGGACTGCCACCCTCATGACAGCTACATGGCTTCAACTCATCTAAACTTCACAAAGGGTGTTCAAAATTGATTTTTAGAGCACATTCTACATAAACTCAAAAAATTCTACAGCGTTTTGAGAAAATCCCCAGGGCCCAAATAGAGAAACATTGTAAGCTTCATGAAATTGTTGTTTTGGATGTGCTGAAAGTAGGTATGCCAGTGCTGCTATTGCCAAACCTCTGGCTAAGGATGGCCTTGCAAATGGAACAAGACTTATGGTCAGGTATATCTAGCCAAAAATTATCCAGGCTGAGATCTTGAAGCGCCCCCACACAGGAGGTATACATATATTCATGAGCCAACCTCAAATTCAGTGTGCCTTGTTCTAGGTTCAAGTATCTAATTGTCAGTGCTTTTTGCTTGAAAATAAATAAATTTCAAGGTCAATCATTAGACAAAGTAGGAATTTTCTTTCCGGGTCCTGTTTTTGGACAAGGCCAGTTTGGCAGTTGTATGTTGGATTGCTGTGTGTTACTTCATTAAATAGTCTTTGTATTGGTATGTTATCAGACTATGCAGACACAATCACCTCAAATGTTGTACAGTCTCCTCCCAGATGTTTATAGCCATCTGTTTTGAGCTCCACACCAGGAACCCAAGAATTTCAAGTCACAAGATTTTGTGGAATGGTGGAAAATGGGTCTCAAAGAATGAATATGAAAAAATAATAATGATAAACAAGATTATAAAATTTGTAAAAAGTGAAAAGGAGAAAATCACAAAAACTGACAGCTCTGATATTTCTTTCAGGAAAAGATGAAATCTCCCAAGTGATAGTATGAGATCTGGAATGAATAATAAGAAGTGAAAATTTGGATAAAAATGACAACTTGGTGGTTCAAAAAGGGTGCCTAGGGGGTCATTCATCAAGAAATGTGGCATTCTGGTACTGCAATCTACTAATTGTGACTGCAGGGTGTCCACCCACCATGCTCAAACTTTTTTGGGATCAATATTTTTCATTTATAATCATTCTTTTCATGTTCCAAACTTGCCCTCTGTGTATTCACTTTTCACTCAAACAAAAAATTAAAGTTTTCAAAAAAATTTGATTTTCTTTTATCTTTTTCACAAATTTTAAAATCTTTTTTCTATTATTATTTTTTCATATTCATTCTTTGAAACCCCTTTTCCACCATTCCACAAAATCTTGTGACTTGATGTTTTTGGGTTCCTGCTGTGGAGCTCAAAGCAGATGGCTATAAACATCTGGGAGGAGACTGTACATAAATCATTGCTCAAACACCACATACGAAGTGCATGAGTGATTGGGAATTCTTGTTTTGTAGTTTTCATTGGTGTAACTTCTTCAAGACATTGCCTGTGCAGTTGATTACACGTGGCGCCAGCCACACTATTCCCTAGTATGTGTAATCTGTGACAGGTGTCCCACCAAAAAATGTGTACTGAGTGGGATCAACGCTGCCACAGATACGGTATCTGCCAGTGCCCGTATCTGCCATGTATCACTATGTATCTGAGCCCCAATAAAAAAAAACTATCTGAACAATCTGCTTTTATTTGCAAGGAGATTCAACAAATTTGGTTTTTGGCCATGCAGATTTGCAGAATTCTCCATGATACACACAGTGTATCGTATCTGTGGCAGCGTTGGTGGGATGAAGAGGAAAACAACTGGCAGGCAGAGGCCTCCTTATATAGTAAAATATGAGGGATTTTAGCCCCGAGGAACCCCCTGTATGAGGCATTTTAGCTTCCCTGTACCTGAAAATACTGAGAGATTTTGGCTAGACTATCTACAATGCATCCCTTTTATATGCAAGCCGTAAGAAAGGAATTCATGTGTTCTGTGTCTGAATAAATGGAAATTTAACTGGTACAACTGGTGGCCAACTTGTGGTTCTGTAAGAATAAAAGGAATTCAATATGGAATAAAGGAATTCAATATGGAATAAAGGAATTCAATATGCAATATGCAATATACCCCCATGCAATATACTCTCCAGCTGAGTGCCTCTGATCCTGTGATTCTCTGTGTGACATCCTTGATCCGTGTAACTTCTGATCCAGTAGAGATATGAAGGTGGTTCCAGTGAGGGACTAGGGGTTAAATTTGCTGTAGATTCCATTTGTCCATATCTTGAGTCCTTCATTGATTAATAATAAAATTTTGAATTTTCTTCCTTCATGCACAGGAATAATGACCACAGCAGACTTTTTGAAACATCCTCACTGGTAAATTGTAAAAATATTTGTTAACTTGGAGAAATCGTTAGGTTTCTGGTCAAGATTATCAATTCAATCTAGGTGATAATTCTTTTATTATGCACATTTGTTTGACGTCATCATGAGTCAAATGACCATGACACAATCGATGATCAATCTTTTGTTTTTCATTTTCTTTCTTTTTGTACTTATACTCTTCTGTCAATCATCTTTCCTGGTTGTTCTTTCCTCCTCATCACAATATTCCTGCTCTTTGGTTTAGCATTACATAATACAAATATACTCAACATTAATTATACTCAAAAGTAGAATACAAAACTATTTACATTGTAGATTCTCATAACGTTATGGTGGCGAGAGCGCACCTTCTTTGGCCGGTTTGTTTGGGGGCATGCGGAATGCTTGCGGCTGATGCGGAAAGCATGCTGAGCTGACGCTACGCACACAAGCTGAGGAAAGCGGCGGTGCATTAGTGGAAAGTCTAGCCTTCCAAGGGGAAAGCGGGTAAAAGCAGGCCGAATGCGCGAGGTTCTGAAAAGCTTGCTGCGGGGGATCCGGGCACTGGCGGGCACTGGGGGTCATGGCCAACTGCGGACCGGGGGTTCAGCGTATACTGCGGAGGGGCTACAAGGAGCGGGGGCACCAAGGGGCGGAAGCGGGGTTCGGAGCGGACCAGAGGCGGAAGCGGCGGTGAGAGACCTGTCCATGAGCAGCCGGAGGAGTACCTGGACCGACAGGCGTCGGAGGGGTGACAAGCGGAGTCCGAGGGAGTGACAGCGGAGGACATCATGGGAAGCAGGAGGAAACTTGAGTGTGGGATAATTGGGAAGAGTGGAGTTCGGAGCGGAAGAGAAAGGGGGGAGGGGGGACTTATGACTCAGAACATATCAGAAAAACAGAGTGACTTAGGAGTGAATTGTGTATTAGCCTAAAGAATTGTTAGAGATAGAATAGAGTTAGAGTGTTACCTACCAAAATCAATAAAAGAATAGTTATTTTACCTACCTACAAGACCATCAAGCAAGTTACCCTGGACAACAAACCGGAGTAGGACGTGTTGCGGAGCGGAGAAGTGCAAGAAATCTCCTAGGGCGCGCCTTACTTTCCACAACATTTGAAAAGAGAATTTACTTTTATTTATTTATCTCTAAGCTTCAGGCAAGTTTACCTCTTGGTAAAATTCATAGCCGCTAGCAGTTAGAGTTATAGATAGGTCCTCACACAAATAAAGCGCCAATATGGAGTGGGGGGGTGTACACCGTGTAGCAACACTGAAACAGATACAATATCTGCCATGTATCACTCCATGTATCTGAATCGCAATTAAACAAATATCTGACCAATGTGCTTTTATTTGCAAGGAGATGCAAAAAAAATGTTTTTTGGCCATGTAAATTTGCAGAATTCTCCATGATACACACAGTGTATTGTATCTGTTACAGCAATGGGTGTAGGTCTGGCTAGCCTCTCAGATTGCCTTAACACAGCTTAGATCAAGAAAACCCATTAAAAGGTTTAACCTTAAACCACAAACTCCACTGCCTTAAACAAGTATTGCAAATAGCAATGACGGAAGAGACATCAATTATCTTCCTGACCTTGTTTTGCCCTTTCCCTGCCCTCAGCGCCTCTCCTTTTATGCCTTCAAACCTCTTTTGTCTCAGATCATCATTATTGTCTTTGCCGTACGCCCCATCTCTTCCCAAAATTTTACTTTTACCGTCACAAAAATATCACCTTAAGTATTCTATATTACCATCGCCGTTTTACTACTTTCCACTCAATTAGCCTGTTCCAGATTCAAATTGCTGTACATATGCTTCGCCTTAATGATTTTGATTGCCTTCCAAAAATTCTACCTTTACCGTCACAAAACCTCTGGCCCCCGCCCCCTTCTTCTGTCCCCCTAATCTCTCCATTTGTTAAAAATTTTGTTGACTTCCGCCCATGTGGACAGTCTGTTCTCAATTCTTCACTATTCCGGTGAACTGCTTTTCATCGTCCCTCTGTTCTCTTGAACAGAACTATCTGTTTTGCTAATAGCAATGTTCCTGGCGCTTGCTCCTTGAATCCTCAACAATTGCCACAATTCTGCATTGTTGCCAGACATATGGACATATCCCGTGCTACGGTCGGCCCATGGATCACTTATTATGGCACCTTGGATCCTTTGATTCCAAACAATACTATACATATCCATGCTCATGCTTCTTATTGGCAATCCACCTGCCCCTCATTTATGAGGAATAATGGTGCCCCCCAAATTCATTGCGACATGAAGTTCAGGACGATTCGCCCAAGCCTCACCGCTTGATCTTTCAGTCTTTCACCTGTTAGTTGGTTCGTTTACTGATCTCGCCCCTCGATTCATATCCTCATACTCATGTTTCTGTCCCTCCATTTTGTTTTCTATTTAATGTCTCCTGGATTCAAATCAATGTACCTTCAAGACTTAGAACCAGGTCATAGCGCTTGGATCAATGGTCGCATTGTTCACAAAAATGGATTAAACATCTACATTAAGGTGAACTCATTGTCTTCCATCCTTGCTTCAACCAGATCCAAGTCTGAAGCCCAAAATAAGTTGGACGACGAGAAATCAACTAGAACTATGCTGAATCAATTCTTTGTCTTGAATCAGAATGACCAAGTCGGCTTGGGAATGCCAGCACGTGAATGCTACTATCATAAAATACCAAAAGACTTTTGGTGGGATGATACTGATAATAGGTAGCTTCCCAGGAAGAGGGAATTGAACACTGTCGGGCGAATCCATTTTGCATCAATTCATCAGGGCAAGAGGTATTTTATAAGGTTGATTTTAATTCACCGAAAAAATATTCAATCATGGGAAGATTTAAAGACTGCTCATGGACTGGTATATAGAACTTGTTGGGAAACTGCTGGCGCCTTGGGCTTATTGGTCAACAATAGTCAGTATGACGAGGCGCTTATCGCAGGAGCCCAATTTAAAACAGGACACCAACTCAGAGTCATGTTTGCAATTATCTTGATGTGTAGCCCTCCAGCTGGACCTATGACCCTTTTTCTAGCACACTGGGCCAATCTCGGAGACGACATTAAATACATATTACAAACAAAGCACAAAATTGAAGATCCCACTGAAGATCAAATCAAAACTGTGACTCTTTATCCAATTGGGCAGATCTCAGACTCTATGGGATCAGATATACATAATGTAGGACTAGCAATGCCTCAACATTGAACAACATTCTTGAATCAACTTGAGTTGCTCAGCGGAAATCACAGGGCAAGTGGCTTTAGTTTTAGACAGTCAAGTTTTTGCGCATGGACAATTACATGTGGGGTTATCAAGAGTAAAAAATGTTCAAGACTTGTGTGTAACTCAAGTTGGTTCAGACCGAGCTGTGCTCAATGTTGTAGTTAAGGAAATTTTTAATGATCTACTGACTAATAGAAGGTCACATTATTTTTGAATGAAAGTCTGACAGGCGGCGCAGCCGCCCTTAGACACTAGTTTTTTTAAAGATTAGGTTTTCCTATCAATCTGGAGCTCCCAAGATAAAGAGTCACATCCTATAATCTAGATATTACTTGGTGATGGGAAATTCAAAGAAGCAAATCAACAAGCAAAGTTTAGACTTGTGCTTTGGGAAATCCAAATTAGTTATTTGAGCTTAACAGAAAGTCTCACAATACTTAGAATCATTTTTTTTTGCTTGAGGTGTTTGATTGGGTTTGCTAACTTGATCACATCTCAAGGGGGGCCCAATAGGATTGAACCATAACAAAAAAGGCATGAAGCTTATAATCAAGTATCATCCAAAAGGCTTTTAGTAATCAAACCATTTATTCCCAAGGCAGTATTTGATTGAAATGAAATGCTATCAAGAGGGTTAAATATCCTCAAGTGACTCCAGAGTGATCAGCATGCGTGGAGAGAGGCTTGGTGTTAAACCTTGACCAGGGGTGCTCACACTGCAGCAGGGACAAGGGACTGATAGGTTTGTGCTCACATTGGGTACTAAATTCAGGGTGATCTATTTGTATTTTGGTTTTCTGACGGCAATGACTTTAGGCTCACAGGGAATATGTGCATACAGATTGATATCAGCTGTTTGGTGCGAGGGTGTCCTCGGTTGCGATGGACTTGTGTTGTTGTATTAAGGTTTGGTTGGGATGTCACGGGTTCTGAGTCTGATCAGTGGATGTCACATCGCCCAACTTAAACCCCCCTGTGGTCCTCCCCCTGCACTCCGCTTGACTTTGGCCGACAACCAAACCAGGGCAATCGACAACCATGGCACTACTCATGCCAACTGCAGCACTTCCTCCTCAAAGCCTCAACCAAACGAACATCAAGACATCAAACATCAACAGCTCAAGCCAAGCATCATCATCATCATCATCCAATCCGATCAACATCACCATCAAATCCAAGAAGAGGGCACGCTTTGCAGATGAAAACTATGATGAGACAACAACAGCAGCAGCAACAACGACGACAACGACGACGACGAGCAATAACAACGAAAAACAGAAGCAACACTGTCTATCGAGCTACATTACCTTCAACCATGATGACCCACCCCTCAAAAAGATTCGCATTCAGGCAGAGCCCTCTTCTTTCGATCTATTCGATCAACCGGCTAATGGTAAGCAGTCAAGAGACATGCAAATAAAAACCTGGGCCTGATTTGTTTATTCATTATAAATTGGATCACTGTTTCAACAGATACACTCCGAAAAGGAATGTATCTGACTTTTATCAATACCGCATTCACCGAACGAGCAAACGTCAGTCCACCGATTTTCCTGTTCAGTTTGTCTTGAGTAAAGTCCTAACTTCGTAGAGCTCATCGTTCCTCCCAGGGAAAGTTCGAACGATACGATCAACTACTCGGCCAATTCGACCCACTCGTCTCACCCCAAACATCACTAGACTCCAACCAATCAAACGTCTCACTGACGAGGGTCCAGGGCTGGCTGAGTGCTCTGACATCCATGGTCTCCCAGCTCGATCGTGGTCATTCACATCTTGTCGAGAAAGTCCTCAGCTTACCCTGGACCGTCTTGGACGATCAGTTTGTCAACGTCTTCTCAAGATTTGTCAGTGGGCTTGTCAGTGCCCGGAGTGAATGGGTTCAAATCGTATTGGAAAACATCATCCGAGGATTCCATTATAGTCAGTACTGCTCACTTAGCATCACGCTTGCTAAGACGCTGTTTCTAACCATATGATCTTGTACTCCAGGTACGATCCCTCTGGAACAACGCTCGGCTCTCTTACCTTCATCGGTCAATCGGAGGCTGATCTATCTCAGGCTCCATAGTCTCCTTCGATCTATCCTTCGATTAATTCCAACGTTACCTTCAACACTCTGGTCATTACTCGATCTCCATTTCCCCAAGAAGCGTGAACATCGTGATGGACATGTCTGTTATCTATCCAACCTATTGAAGATCGCCAATTACTGCCCCGATCTGAGCGCCAAGATCGTCCAGCTCTGTATCGAGAAGTGTTTGAAGATCGATGTGGATATCCAGGTGGAAGTAGAAGAGTGGGAAGATGAAGAAGGACGATTGGACGAAGAAATCTTCGGGAAACCGATCGAGGATGCATTTGATAAATCCTGGACAGACGATGATGCTCATGAATCTGACCTTGATGATGAGGATGATGACGGCGAGGAGGTAGACTTTGATGAGCTATCTTCCGATGAAGGGGCTCTCTCCGACGATGAGAATGAGAAGAACTTGAAAACACCTTCGCCCGAATCGGTGAGAAAGGTGAAAAAATTAGCGGCAAAACTGGATGGAATGTTGCGTTGTATCTTTGATCATTTGCAACTGATGAGCTTGGGTGTTGCGCTCAAGCCGACGACTCTGACGACCAATCCAACTGAAACGAACGAGCATCCAGGAGAGTCGAAGGAACAGATATCGCTAGCGGCGGTAGACCCACAGCTTCAAGATGATCGAGAGGCCATGTTCAATCTGCTTCTTTCGAACTTCGAATCGTCCATCCTGCGCACCCGTCGAACCAGGCACGTCCAGTTCATCATGTTCTGGTACGCATCCCTCGAACCAGCATTTGCGGACTCGCTACTTGCGACACTAGTGGAACGGGGGCTCTATGATACAGACGACAATTCGCTCCCTGTGGCCACTAGGGTAGCGGCAGTGAGCTATATAGCCAGTCTGATCAGTCGTGCCAAATATATCGATAAACATGTCACTCGTCATGTGGTGTCCTTACTCTGCGCTAGATTGGAATTAGGCCTGGCCGAAGCTCATCAGATGAACGTCAATCAACATGTGGTCTGGTATGCGATTGCCCAGGCGATCTTTTACATCTTTTGCTTCAGATGGAAGGATCTCTTGGTCGAGGATGATGATGATGACGAACAAGACGAGGCAAATGAGCTTAATATCCGCTTCTCCCACCCGAAGAAATTCAATGATCGTTGGTTGAGTGGTCTGAAGATTTTGGAACGAGCTATTATCTCACCTTTAAACCCTCTCAGAGTGAGTCACAATCCTTTCACCTTTTCCTTGTCATATATTTAATACATAAATCTTGTATTGACAGGATTGCTCTTTCTTTCTTTCTTTCTTTTAAAGACATGCGCAGATACGGTTGTCTCGCAGTTTGCGAAGATCTCGCACGAGACAAATTTTATATATTGCTACGATATCATGAGAAGGAACAACAATAATCAACAGGGGAAGGAGACGGAGAAGAAAGGAGGGACGCAATCGAAGGGCTTAAGTGTACCAAGCTCGACGAGCTCGACATGCTCACCATCCTACTCGCCCAGTTCAGGGACAAGCTCGCTCCCAATGGTCGATGGCCGACCGGAACAGCCGCTACGAACATCCTCCCACGAACAGGTTGTCAACAAGGCCCTCTTCCAGTCTAAGATCGACCTCTTCTTTCCCTTCGACCCTTTTAAACTCCCCCTCAGCTCGGCCTATATTCAGACTATCTATCGCTCATGGGATCATGGCGATGATGATGAGGATGAGGATGAGGATGATGCAGAAGAAGAGAATACGGATGGGGAGGATGAGGATGCAAATGGTAATCCAGAGGAGTAGTCTTTCTTGCCGTTTTACTGGCTTCCATGTTGGAAAATACATAAAAATAAAAAAACGTGTTTGCCATATTTGATCTGGTCTTTTACAGTCAATCATCCATCCTAATAGTTTGAAACCCAGTTTTGTTTTTTATGCACCAAAGATACATCAAATCCAAACCACAAAAAGCATTTATCATTACTCATATACATGTTATACATACATATACACAGAAGTTTTTTTTTTTCTTCTTCCAATTGGTACAAGAATTTTTATTTGTTGAGAATAAAATGAACCAAAGAATCAAGTTGTGGTGGGATGCAATGCTGTGTACTTTTCTTTTTTTTGAAAATCAGCAGTCAGAACCTTTTTAAAAATGGACCTTTCATGGAGGATTTTTTAGGTCTAATTGTCTATGATAAGAGTCCTACATCTGAAGGTGTGCTGATTATAAAGTGTTGAGGTATGGGGCACACAATCTTATGTATGTTTAATATCAACTACCAAAAAAAAAACAGTAGATGTCCAAATCATGCTCATCTTTGTTACATCCCAGAAGAGCTTAAAAGTAGAAGAATATGATTCTGTATAAGGTGAGGTGTTTCCAGAGTGAGCAGCTTGGACAATTTTGTCAGCTTGATCTTGTTACCCAATTGTTGATGATGGAGTGTGTATTACACAGCACTGATCTTGTTAATGGTTTGATGAAGAGGATGATGTCATCATTTCCTCAAGCACCCGGACAGGATAAGCCGAGAGCAGCGGACACCCAGCCACTCAACTTCAACCATCTCTCTCCCCAAAACCCCAAAACCCAAAAACCAAAAACCAACCAAGAACCACTACATTCAGAAGGAAATGGACCCACTCGGAAGCATCAACACCAACACAAACAACAACAACAGCAACAACAACAACAGACCAAACCCATTCAGCTCAAACCAACAACAACAACAACAACAACAACAACACTACCATCAACAACAACAACAACAACAACATCACTATCATCAAACACCCGACAAACGATATTACCCAAAATCGCCAAACACCTCATGGCCATCATCTCCACTCATCAAACCAAACTTAGTAGGAGCCGCATCAGCCAACCAACAGCCTATCATCTGGCCAGCACGCTCCAATCCAACAACGCCCACTATCACCCAACTCAACCGAGAACCACGTAGTCCGATCAGAGAAGAACCACGTAGAACACTCAACAACCAACAACCCATCCCACAACACTCAGAACACACTCAACAACAACAACACCAGCAACAACAACAAAAACAACAACAACATCAACATCAACCATACCAACAGCAACAACAACAACAACATCATCATCAACAACAACAATATCCTAATATCTCACAGAATAATCATCAAAATACTCCCTCAGAAAACATCCGCCCAGAGAAACGACAGGCTAAAATCAGAGTCACCGGCATCGAACGTAACCGAAGAGATCTTTATATCAAGTTTGACGCTTGGGTCAGTCGTCTCATCTTCAACATATCTTTATATATATCATGCTAACCAAAATAACTTAATTAGTCTAATTTGACAACAAATAGGACTGGCCATTGTCCTAATGTCTCTAGAGCTTATAAGGAATTCTTGTCGTTTCATGAGGCCTTGATCTGTAATAATCCACATACGATCGTCCCACCGATCCCATTTCCAAAGTAAGTTGATTGAAACAAAGCCTAACGTATAAAAAAACACCCGCTGATTTTAACTCCTTGATTATTACTATTATTCTTTACATCTTTCACAGTACTTCAGCTCCCAGTCCAGCAGATGATGATAGATTGGTTGCCTCAGCCTTCCAACAATTCTTTGACAGATTACTCATAAACAACTTCTTGAGGAACGACGATGAGTTGCGAGTGTTTCTAGAGTCTGATTTTGGGTACACGCCCCAGACGAAGATCAAGAAGCGATCGATCACCAGTGGATCGGGCTGGCTTAGCAAGCCTGCCGTCGGCTCCTCCGTCCGTACCTTACCCTCGAGCACGATCCAACAGGGACCAGGAGGGACCCCGGATACGGTGGTATCGATCGTCGAAGAGGATGAACTATCAAATGCGAAGCTGCAGTTCAGACTATTGGAGGATCGCTTGGTTGACTGTTGTCGCTCGGTCGAACAGCTCTCCCGTTCCCGGCGCTCGCTAGCCCAAGCCCTACTCGATCTCTCCGGTCGGGTCACCCAGTTCTCGACCACCGAGTCACACGGCGCCCTAGCTGAGGGCTTCCGTCGATTAGGCCAGACGATCCGGGCGATCTCAGAGCTCGAGACGAACAGCGCAGTGGGCTATCTGGTGACGCTCTCGGATGGCCTCAGTTGGTGCTCGGTGAGTGCTAAAGCAGCCAAGGACGTGCTCCGGAACCGGGCCGGAGTCTTGCACGAACATTACACGAGCGTCAAGAAGTCGATCGAGAAGCGCAGACTGATCGAGCGGATCAAGAGCACCAACGTCTCATCCGAACGTGTCGAAAGCGCACTGGAGGAATTGGAGGAAGCCAAAAAGGCGGAGGAGACGATCGCCCAGAAGGCCATGTTGATCTCGACTAACCTGAGACCGTCCTTACGGAGCCATTCGGAACTCCTGCACGACGATCTCCTCTACTCGTTGATGGAAAACGCTCGGACTCAGTTGATCTATGAGAAACAGATCCTCAAAGAACTCGAGCGTGTCAAGCCTGAATTAGATTCGATCAGCTTACGTCCAGCCAACGTGATCTATGGCCATTCGTCGACGAACCTCGAATCCGACTCACATCATCATCATCATCATCATCGACACCAACAAGATTATCAGAATAATAATAATTATATAAGAAGAGATTCATCAGCTGATCATCCAAACCATCGCGCCTCATTGTCATCCTCTACTTACTCTAATCACCAGGCCCAACACTCTTCGACAATCATCAACCATCATCATATCCAACCCACCCCGATCCGCACCGGCGAGATCTCCAAGAAATTGGTCGTCCATGATCGGCTCGGCGAGAACGTCGACTGTCGGCAACGCGTCGATGCTAAAAGCGCCGCCGCTTCGTTGGCTCGCTTGTTTTAATCTCCCTCTTTCTCTTTTCTTCCTCTGAGCCTCACTCTCTCTCTCTCTCTCTCTTCATCTCTCTCATTTCCTCACTGTTCTCACTGTTTCTCTCACTTTGTTCTTCCATCTGCGTCTTCATTCATTTTTCTTCTTTGTTTTTTTTTCAGGTCAGCTTTTGCTCTTCCTCTGTTTTTCTTCTAACTATATAAGCCTTATGCGTTTGTATAAAATGAGTCCTACATATATGTATAATTATATGAATCAAAAACCTGATGATTTTTTTTCTCAAGTTATATATTTCATATATTTATATATATCTTGCTTTTCTCTGATCATTCTTGTTTATGTTCATCTGACTATAAACAAGAAACAATCTATTCTGATCCCCACCTGATTTTCCTTAACTATTATCAAACAAGTCAGCCAGATATGTATGTAGCACAAATGGACAAGTCACAATACATGATACTGATGTTGAACTTGGATGTTTATTGACTGATTGTTCTTTGAGCAATGATGAGATTGACATGCTTATGTACTTCTTTCTTGTCCTTTCCTTCTCTCTCTCTTCACATACACATCCATCTCCAAAAAAAAACAAGAAAGAGTTGATTATATCCAGTCAACCTAGCAATCTATGATGTACAAAATACAAACATATTTAGGTATCTGGTTGAAACAACCAATTTGGTCAACTAGGTATATATCCAGGCTGCATGAGCACAGTGAAGTCACTGTTTTGTGCTAGTAATCCGTCATCAATGCTCATCTGGGGCTTGGGGATCCCTGACATCCAATGCTTGGCTACATGTGCCAATCTGCACTTGTACTGCTTTGGCCAACTGTGAATTGGTGTGCACACACACAACTTACACTGAAACAAATCCATTACATGTATTTGTAGGGCTGTTTTGAGAAAGGTTGTCCATGACTCAAACACGAGTTTCTTGCAAAATCTTGTTCTGTGTTGTCAAACATTGTGCTCCCTGGACTTTCAACAGGAATTCAACTAGCTCAGGACAGGCGTTGAGGTGGATGTCCTAGGACCCAGGAGAGTGCACCAAATTTGAAAGTTTAGTAACCAAAATCCATATCGAAAACATGGGATTCTTACACTTTTTAATTAACAGACTTTTCAAATTTCTCACCTATTTATGGCTCATAGTGACTAAAAAATACCAGTACTTTACAGCCAAACCAAGAAAGCTTTTGGTCTTGGTTGGCTGATTTTCTAAATAATAATAATAATAATAAAAAACAGCAACTTGATTCAGAAGGTTTGGAAGGATACATTGAGTGTATAGATTCCAAAATGCATGCTGGCATCAGCAACGGGACCTGGACAGCCAATTTACTGGGTGGCCGGGGCAAGGGGAGCAGCACCTGATGAGCCAGCCAGACCAAGATTTACATCAGGATTCTGATGGTCTTACCCTCATGAGCTAGAATCAAGAGATAAAAAAGATAGCAAATCAAATCAAAAGTAAACCCTGTATGTAAGTGGGCATACAGGATGGTGTATTATTCCAAACATTCCAGCTGCTGATAACATTTTTCTTTTCTTTTTGCCAACAGAGACTGCAAGCTTTCTTGGTTTGGCTGTATTTACCTTGCAAGCATACATGTGATGATGTGGCCATGTTTTCAGCTTTAGAAGATCACATCTAGTTGTGAGCCAAAGTGGCTTCAAACATGCATTGGCATTAGAGATGGTCGCGGATAATCCGCCGAGGATATCCGCTATCCGCTGGCGGATACCCGCCAGCGGGTGCGGATGCACCCTTCCCCCTGAAATACTGGCGGGTATCCGGGTATCCCTTGGGATACCCGGTGCCAAGAGGCCACACCGCCGGGAGGAATCCCTCCCGGCAAGCTGGTTTTTAAACCAGCTTGTCGGGAGGGGTTCCTCCCGACGAGCTGGTCTGTGTACCAGCTCGTTGGGAGGGGTTCCTCCCGGCGAGCTGGTTTAAACCAGCTCGTTGGGAGGGGTTCCTCCCCGCGAGCTGGTTTAAACCAGCTCGTTGGGAGGAGGTCCTCCCCGCGAGCTGGCCTCTGTCCCAGTAGGCCGAGAGGAGAGCCTCCCCTTTGTTTTTTTCGGTCTCATATTAAAAAAAGAAGCTCCTGCAAGAAACTTGTCTCGTCTACACACTGGCGTATGCGCACACGC